GGAGGGCGGTATTGTCTATGACAAGATTGCTGAATGGGCTGCGCGTCTCACAACGACGAACGTGGCTCATGTGATCTTCTTGACCAATGACGTCGCATTCAGCAAGTCGCTCTCGAAGGCCATGCCAGACCGCATGTTCCGTCAGATCTCGCTATCAGACTGCAGCCCCGAGGTCGCGAAGCGATTCGTGATCACCCATCTCGATGCCGATGTCGAAGACGACCCAGCGCCAAAGGACGGCTCACCCAAGAAACTACCCTCTCAACACCGCGACGATCTCGACGAGCTCGATACCTGCATCGACCTCCTAGGCGGCCGCCTCACAGACCTCGAATTCCTATCCCGCCGAATCAAGACAGGCGAGACACCCACCAAAGCCGTCCACGAAATCATCGACCAGTCCGCCTCCGAGATCCTCAAAATGTTCATCTTTGGCGCAGAAGACGAAGGCGGCAACCGCCACTGGAACGCTGAACAAGCCTGGTTCCTCATCAAAGAGCTCGCCCAGAAAGAAAGCCTCCGCTACAACGAAGTCCTCATCGACGACATCCTTAAAACAGGCGGCGAATCCGTCCTCCGTGCCCTCGAACAGGCAGAGCTCATCTCCATTGTCTCCGGCGCCAACGGCCGTCCATCCATCATCAAGCCAGGAAAACCCGTCTACCATCCCGCTTTCAAGCGCCTGACCGAAGACAAGGTGTTGAAGAGTCGATTAGATCTGGCGATCCTAACTCATCTGACAAAGATTGAGAGTACGACGATTGACAAGTGCGAGAATGAGTTGTTGCTGTTGAGCAAGTTGAGGAATCAGCCGGCGCAGACGGCGGGACGGGTGAATTATTTACTGAGCAAGTTGATGACGAGTCAGGGGAAGGTGGAGAAGTATGAGGTCGAGATGAAGGGGTTGAAGAAGGTGCTTGGGAATGAATATTAGGTTTGAAAACTGCGTGTACAATGATACCATCTCCCTTCAATGCTAATGGAATGGGTTGAGTGTCGTGTTGTGGGCGTATGATATACACTGTTGACTGTCGGTGGAGCCTTTCCTCCAACTTTTGTTGCGCGTATTTTTCTCAAGGCCATGTGCTGTTGCTTTAGCAGATAAAGCTTCAACCAAACGCATGATTCCAGTGTCACCAACTTATTCCAACCACACTTCTTGTCCTGGATACTCAACGTTTGCTGTCCAGCTATCCGCCGTGACCTTCGTCAAACTTAGCTCCCTAAAAGTCCTAATCTCGACCCCATGCTTGTCGAACACAACATGTAACCTCGCTCCGCAACCACGGACTTTGCATCTCCACCGCCTGCGATCTGGATCCATCAATACGATTTGGGAGCCATGGCCTTTCTGTTTACAACCAGAGTACCCGCGCTCTCGGGCTTCTCTCATTGGCTTCAGGATATCGGCGACCTTTTCCTTTCCTTGCACATGAGGACAGACATATATATCAGTGTCTTGAATGGTTTCAGCGATCTTGACGAAGGGTATCGATCCAAAGAGATAGGCAGCACAACAGCTATCTTGGTGTTCTGCCAGGAGGTGCTGTGGCGTTCCCCAGGGGCTGCGTTCGTCGGCTCTGTATAGAGGTATTGTTTGAGTCAGACAGAAGCAACACGACTCCTCGCATGACGTGATAAGAGTGTTACATCCTTGCGAGCATGCGGGCCATGAACGTCCTGTCCCAGGTCCTTTAGATAGCCGAAGGAAGTCCTCAAAGGCCATTTGTGTATGTGGGCACAAGTATATTGTGCCAGCGGATGCTGTGCATTGTCTTTCGCTGGCGATTATAGCAGGGCATTCCTGCTCTAGCGCTCCAAAAGCTGATGATGGATGGAAGTCTGTACAGTAGCTGCACAAAAGTTTGTCATATGGTGTGTATCGTCTGGAGGGGGTGTTAGCCTCTTCGTACTCAGCTAGTCGGTTGAAGCAATCTTTGCGCAGGCGCCAGGCGTATTCGTCGAAGTCTCCGCCCTCAGCCTGAAGCCCTTCCAAACGCCTTTGGACACCGTTTGTAGATGACAGACCCCGGAGGTATTTGCATGTCATACCAAGGCTGAGTGCGTCGACTGGTGGTAGCAGGTCGAATATGTCCAAGATCAGCTCTACAGGTAGACAGGGTAGGTAGCGTCCTTTATCGACATGATCGGGCTCGCTATCTGCCTTTTGAGGCATCCATATGAAGGCGAGATCTGGCCTGTGGTAAGTGCTGCGACCTGTTCGAGGGAAACGGTCGAGCTCGTGTCGGTGTATGAAATAGTCCTTCGCGGCAGAATGGTCAGCGACATTGTGCCGAAATTGACGTACCGGTGCACCGTACATGATCCTGGGACTGTCGGTCATAGCCATTCTGAAGGAGATTTCGTAAGAGTTGGGGCGAGAGAGAATCCAGGGTGATGAACGAAAGGTTAATGGAAGTTTGTTGCGCTGATTACAAGCGTATAAGTTAAGGCAGCAGTGTGCGCTAGTGTTCACGTGCACAGACACATCCATGGTTTGATTGGACCCTTTTCTTTGGGCGGTTCAGTCGGAAGCATTCGATAACGTTGAGCTCGTTACGAAAGAAAGACGTACTGCGGTAGCTGTATCCCAAATTTGGTCACTGATGTCCGTGTTAGCGAAGATATATGTTAAAAATTTGATAGCGATAATAGCTGCCTAGAAATCCATGACCCCATTCCCATCTAAATAAAAACGCCGGGACATGTCTGATGCCAAGTATACCCTTCAACGCCGTGCCACCCTATAATATCATTTTGAAGCCAACAAGTGAAACCCCTTCTTCCGCTTTCCAAGAAACCTACGTCTACTGATGTATCTGACTCACATGGCCCGCCTGTCCAGCACCACCCCACTCACTATCATCATCACTACCCACATCCGTCCAGCTCGTAGGCGTCATAATGCCCTGCCTATCGCCGTCGAACTCGCTGAAGCCGCCCTCGGAAAAGGCATCTGTAAACCCGCTTTCTGAACGCGCGTCGTGGTCTGTGTCGTTTTGTTCGCTGTTGGGCATGCTGAGGATGGCGATGTCGTTGGCGTGGGCGGAGGCGACGGAGCCGCTCATGGTCATGGAGCGCTCGGAGCGCGGGGTTAGGGTGCCGGTGGAGAGGTGCTCGGCGTCGTTGTCGTCGAAGAAGGGGTGGGAGGGGGTGGGTTCGCCTGCTTGCGAGGAGGTGAAGGAGTAGAAGGATTGGGCGGCTTGGTCGGCGTCTTCCTGGGCGGGCTGCGCGGGCGACGGGGTCTCGGGGAGGGAGTGCTCGGGGTCGGGTGTTAGGTCGACGAGTGTGCCGGTGGTGGGTGTGGAGGGGATGTCGGCTATGATTGTAGCGGAGCTTTCGCGGGCGGCGGGTTCTTCGTAGGTGAATGGCTTGGGTGATGGCGCTTCGTCTTCGTCGTGGTCGAATAGGACTTGGTCGTCGGAGAAGGGGTTGGCCATGGTAGCAGCGGCAGCGGAGCCGGCGGCAAAGCCAGCAGCACCACGCTTCTTGAGCATGCCATTCGAGTTGTCCGTGCCAGTTGCCGTCGCGTTGTTCCTGAGCATGCCATCGCTGCCAACCATGTCGTCGAAGCTTCTCGTCCGATCAGCTCTCGACCGCCTGGCAGCCACCTCAGCCGTTTCAGCACCGATCCTAGCCAGCTCATCCAGGTCGACGGCGATACCCTCTTCCCTTGCCCGCCTGATCAGTTCATTCCTATTCCTCCTGATCAACTCCTCCCTCCGTTGCTTCCTAGCTTCGAAGTCATCGGACGATTCGCTCGGGCGGCGAGGCTGAATGTCATCGCCAAGGTTGTGCAGCGCGATGGCGATCTTGCGGCGGGTTTGATCGGCCCATTGTCGCACTTGGGGAGACTCGTAGATAGCGATACCGGCGGCGACGATGACGGACGCGGCGATTATGAGGCCTGATGTGAAGGGGTGGTTAGGACGGTGCGGCGGGGTTTGAGTGCTGCCTTGAGGAGATGCGAAGCGCGCGCCGGTGCCTGCAAGCAGGTTGGCATAGGAAAGTAAAGTAGACAGTAGAGAAATACGCGACAAGAGAAATAACGTTGAATATGCTGGGGACACCGCAGCAACATGCATAAGTGGAGTTATCCGTACTCACCTTTGGCCAGTGGCGCAGGCATCTCTGCGGACTTTGTAGCAGCGGGTCAGTCCTGCTACTCGAAAAGATTCCCTGATAGTGTGGTGGGAAATGATAATAGGGAGGAGAATCCAGAGGCTTTTGACCTTGGGAGAGGCGTGTAAGGAGAGAAGGTTCGAGGGCTGAGAGCATTCGTGGTTCGTCCGGTCCTTCGCCACTTGCACAGCCGCACATGCAGGGCCCGTGGAGCTGGGGGCTCCGGGCGGCTTTTGGTGGGGTCGCCTGCCGCCAATCTTGCTGCACATCGCCCCGCACCCGTTGGACTAACTGAATAACTAGGCCCCTGGAACGGCATAATTCACTTATCGCTGCGCATATCTGGAGATTCGATGGAGTCATCATAAAGTGGGCTGAGTATCACCAAGGTCAACACGTCTACATCACATTGTCACCTCACAGCAAGAAAAATCTTGGGTCAACTTGACGATTACACGCAAAGAATGTCCATTGGAATAGTCAGATGGCTATGAATGTATGCAGGAACGCACGAATAAGAGACACGCTAAGTACCAACTGTCCGTATGTAGTCACCAACCAAAATCTACCCCGGAGACCAGTTGTGTGTCTAGACGGTAGCTTCCGAAACCCATGGTAGAAGCCCTCGTCAGAAGCGTGGAGCTCAGACGCGGATCCTCGACCATCGGAGTCATGCTCAATAGCTTGCGCAATCAAGCTGAACCGTTCGACCGAAATGCATGAAACAAACAAACAAGACTTTTGAATGAAGATAGAAAACAAAGGGAGGGAGAAAGGAGAGAATGGGTAGTAGGACTGGCCAGTCGACACTCCGTTGGGTCCTCTGCAGCAGCTGTGCTTCAGCGACGAAGACGAAGTGACAGTACTGGACTGGAAGCTCAAGACTCGTAATCCTGGGGACGCAGTACGAACCTGTGCCGTGCAAGCAGAGGATCAGTGATGACTACTTCAATCGACATGTTCTCGGGTGTGCGAGCAGCTACGTCCTCGAAGTCATGAGCGGCATCAGGGCGCGCATCAGCATTGTTGTTGGCACGCCTGAAACGCTTGAAGTTGGTCATGATGTTCTCTGTTATGGCAGCGGCGATCTTTGCATCATCGTAGATCCGCTTATCGCCTTGCTTCGAAAGACGGTAAGGCCGGTAGTCCGCGAGATCATAGTGCTTGGTGTGACCCGGCATGTGATCCCAACAGACGTTGTCATGATTCCAAAGATAGGGTTCCGGGCTACCGCGGGCTTGTATGACTTCGGTGGTCTTCGATGTGTGCAGAACCATGCCATCGAACGGCATAGCTCTGACGATGAGAGATTTGGGGATGCTGCTGACGGCTAACCATTCACCCCTGTGGTCGTCGCCCGCCCATACACGCAGATCCGACACCTTCAACTCATTCACTGAGAACCAGAAGATACCGCCAGCATCCAAGACGTCGTTGACCTCACAGTCCGGGCGCTCGTGTGCAGGTCCTTCGTAATCATCTTGGAAAAGAACCCATATTGGGATCTCTATGTCATCGTATACCGTTTCTTCAATGTGGTCGGTGTCCTTGTGCTCGGTCGTGTGCCCATTGGTGGTAGTCGTCATATTGGCTGTGAGAGTCGCAGGGACAATCTTGGAGATGTCAAGGGATGTGACGACGAGACAGCGCGGAACCTTCCTGGTCTTGTCATGTAGATGTTTCACCTTCTTCTCGGCCAGTGCTGATGAACGTTAGTGTGAGTCGTATATGAAGCATCCGCCCAAGACTTACCGAGCCTACTAGTTGTAGATATGAACGGAGTAGGATTGGGTCCGGTCATCCTTGCGTCGAGATGTTTCATTATGCGCTCCTTCGTGAAATCCAGAGGCGCTTGGAGGGTACCACGCCCTTGGAAAGCATTGTGATCTTGTAGTATGAGGTCTTGGTTGTCGGCATGCACGACATGCTTCACTCTGGAGACATTACTGGCCAGTGTACCGTTCTTCTCGTGGGACCACCTGTAGACTTTGTTTGGGCGATTGGTTATGGCGGCGCGTTCGCGTGCTGACTCCCCACTGAAGTTGCTTATAGATGTTAGCTGGTTAACGTCCAAGAACGGGGAGGTATAGCACGCTTACAGACGAAGAGATCCATGAAGTAAGGATGTAGTGGTGGCCCTCTCCTTGGGATCTTGAGGAAGAGTCATCTTATGGTGTCAGTGGCCTTGTGAAGGGTTCGTGCTGAGCCTTGGTGACTGATGTTGTAGGTCGTGTTGACTTGGGAAGATGTGTTACTGAACGACGGAAAGTAGAGGGCGTTAACAAAAGCGATGGAGGTTAGATAAGTAGAAAGAGCTCGTTATATACTATGAGAGTGGCCTACTGTGAGACTAGACGCTAGAGATTCGCCATGTGGAGAGAGGTCAGGCAAAGGCGCGGTACATGGTAAGCTCACTGGTGAGAGACGATACTGGCATCTCAAAGCCAGTGCCTAATACATCTTGTGAGATGGGTAATGTCGCTATGGTGGTGAATTCATATATCCAACACATAAGCGTATGAATGGCGAGAACATTTCAGATATTCATGAAATCGTAGCCATCCAAGAGGCAAGTACCTTGATCTTGGTAGACTATCAAGTCGGAGTTGATGAATACATTACTTTGATGGATCACCATACGATGATGAGCGGTGGACTGTGATGGCTGCATGGCTACACCAGATCTTATGCCTAGGGCTACTAATGAACATTGACGACGACAAAAAATGATGTGTGGCGGGTTGATGTGATGGTTAGGCTCTAATCGTAGTCAAAAACGTCGTTCGTGATGTTGGGAGATGCAGGTCAAGCTCGCTGTGGCTGGCCCACCTTCCGCCAAGACCTCGGCGCGCCTGATTGGCGGTCGCAACCGCGTCTCAGCGAGCTGCCACTTGCGACACGCAGCATTCCAAGGTCGTACCACCACATTTCTAGAGATCGTGATCGGACAGCGCTTGCGATAGCTGCGATGAGTTCCTCTATAGAAACCGAGATTCTGAACAAGTACAATCTCACGACACTGTACCCCGCAACCTGGCCGCAGGAGAAGGACGAAGCCGACGAAGAGGATACGTTCGACGAGCCCATACCCAAAGCCACGAAACAATCGATACGGCGGTCCAAATCACGATACTCTGTGTTAGAGCCCAGTGCAAGATTCTCGCGGCAGGTTCCGGGAGCAGAGCGCTCGAAAGATGGCGTAGAGACGTTGGTCCAGAAGGATGAACAGGACCCGTTGGGCATGTACCCCAGTGTAGTGCAGGTGCTGCGGGCGAAGAACATTCAGGTCGAGGATGACATCAAGCTGCGTACGTCCCAGTCATATAGCAATATACACAAGGCCTGTCTAATGGGCACACAGGCAATCGCTTCCTCTTGAGCTCCACCACCTTTTCGCCCTCCCTCTTCCTTTCGCAAGTCCACAATGAAGCCTCTACCGACTCCCTCCTCGCCGGTCTTGACTTCCTTTCCCGTTCGATTGAGAAGAAGTCTGCTTCGCTCAAAGTCCTCGTCGAATCCAACTTCGATCGCTTCGTAGGCGCCAAAGCTACCATTGACCGAGTATACAATGAGATGCGGGACCAAGGGAAGGAGCAGGTGGAAGCGCCCAACAAGGATCTTCAACCTGGCACCGGCAGACCCAGGGCTCGATCGAGTTTCTCTGGCCGAAAGACAAGCGCATCTCTGACACCAGGCATGGTCGACGCGGTGCCTGCGGAGAAGAGGAAGAATGCGCTCGTCAAGGAGAGCGAATACGGTGTACACGGAATCAAGGTCCCGCTGACCGAGGTTGCAGTGAAAGCGGAAGAAGTCTGGGGCCCAGCGTTGAACGGACGCGAGCGGGAAGAGACATTAAAGTCCATCATGGAGTCTGTGGAGCACCATCGGGGTCTGTTCGAAGTAGGATCAGCCATCCAAGATGCCATACGCCGGAAGGACCACGAGACAATCACCGAAGAATACAAGCGCGCGAGGAAATACGCAGACGAAGCTCGATACATTGTAGAACAGGCAACGTCTACCCAGAGGCCGCTGACCGATGCCGAGATACATCAAGTCATTGTGACGGCTAGGATGTGGTCAGACGTCGAGCGGCAGATTGAGCGGTTCAAGCGCGAATCCTGGAAACGCCTGACTGCAGCGCATTTCACGCACCTGCAGACTGGAACCGAAGACACCAAGTCAGATGAGTATTTGAGCATCATCTCAATCATGCTCGAGCTGGGTGTGGAGGAGAACCCGATTTGGGTGTGGTTGCTCTCACGCTACGAACACCTTAAATTCCAGCTCAACTCCAAGTGCCAACACTCGCTTGTTGAGATCGAGATCCTTCGCCGTCATCTGGCGAACGGCGAGAAGCCGAGCATGCGCATGCTGCAAAAGCATCTGCGATCAGTCCCTACTAGCACCAACGTCAGCGCTGAGCCTTCGAAGCTTGACACACCAAAGGTGACGGAGTTCTGGGAACATGTATATGCCTCGATGACGACCCTACTCTCAAACAAATCTGGGTTGCTTGCTGAACTAGTTGAATACTGGGAGATTGTCCAGTCGTTCCTCTCCGGTCGCGCGCAACGGAACTTACCAACAGGCCATCACAATCAATCGTCCGTTCACCACCGGCTCAGTAGTGAGAATAAAGCTGAGCTTGAGAGAGGTACGACCGAACTCATCAGCATCCTGCGAGACCATCTGTTCTCGTTCTTCTCAGATCCTCCCATTGAGGACGTATCGATGCTAATGTCACCACTGCCTATGAGCCCGACACCAACCACACCAGGAACACCATTGAGCGCAGCATTGAGTCCCATGTCAGCGTCGAGGTCTAGGTTCGATCCTGCGAAAGCACCGCCACCATCACCTAGTCGCGGTGAATCTTGGGAGAAGTACGCCTTCTGGCCCCCTAACGCGAATGCGCTTTCTGGATCTCATTATCTATCCAAGATGCTGGTCTTGATTGGTACCGCAGCCAACGAACTGGCATCGCTTCAAGTTCCCGAGTCTGGAGGTAGCGGCCGCATCGACGAAGCGCTGCGCTTGCTCCTTGGTGGTGTCCGTGAGCGCTGCATTCAAGCTGTATGTGCAGCTTGGAACACGGATGCCGAGAAGTTGAAAGTGTTGGAAGACTGGACTCGTCATGTCGACCGCAAAGATACCACGAACCTACCCCAACGTTTCCTTGCAGTACAAAGCTTTCTGCTCAACAACCTGCAAAAAATACTCTATGTTGAAGCATCGAGCAAGACGAGAGTGGACGTTGTTGTACCACCGAGCAATAAGCTGCTGCAGATGGTTAGAAGTCAGTTCGTCACCAGCTTGTACAGAACGCTCAGTGGGATGGTCGAATGTGCGGAGCGAGGTAGACAGGCCTTGGGTGCTGAGTTTGAGATCAAGAGTGATGATCTGACCATCGACGAGCAAGATGATCAGAATGGTAACGACTGGGGTAGGGTCGATGCCAACAAGAAGGTAAATACACATGTCACGCTTCCGACTATCTCCACTGACAGCTTCCAGTCCATCCGCCTCCTCCTAACCCTCGCCAACATGTCCGCCTTCCAGTCCGAAATAACGCCCCAACTCCTCACCCTCTTCGAAACCCTCTTCAGCGTCCAACTAACCGACGAAACAAACCGCATCCGCGACGTCCTCTCCCAACTCGACGCCCAACTCTTCCGCTCCTACACAAAACCCCACGCCACAAAGATCCACTCCACAATCGAATCCGGCATCTTCAGCCCCACCTGGGCACCTCCTCCCGACAACCGCAAAAGCGTCGCAGACCGCGACCCAAGCCCCTACGTCTTCACCGTACTCCTAGATCTCGTAATCGTGCACACCGAGTCATCCACGACATCCGCACCCCTAACCCCACGCATCCTGCGCTCCCTATTCGAAGCCACAACAACCTCCCTCATAACGACCTTCCAATCCGCCAACCTCCCCACCATCTCCCTCCCGCAACTCATGCAAGCGACCCTCGACGTGGAGTTCATGGCACAAACACTCGCCTCGTACACCACAGAGAAGGCATCGCAGATCCAGACGGATATCTACCAGGTGCTGGATCAGAAGACGGATAATGCGGCGAGAGTGAGGCTGCAGGAGGAGTTGGGCAGCTTGAGGGTGAGCTTGAAGAGGTTGAGGGAGGGGACCAAGGTGCAGTTTGCTTGCTTTAGGAGGGTTAAGAGGGGGACGCTTGCGGGTGGTGGGGGTGCTGGTGGGGCGGAGGAGGAGAGGAGGGGGAGGTAGATGGGTGTTGGGGGTTGGGTGGACGGGGGAGGGAGATTGGTATGTGATGGGGAATATATTCAAGATTGTTGATGACGTTATGGAAGCCGTGCGTGGGTGTAATGCGTTCACGTATTTGATCTTGAAGTCGAACGTTGAACCGACGAACTTGAATGCATGCAAGTACAAAATCTGCCTTTCCGTGCCGCTTCCTTAACGATGCTTCTTACACTTTTTTCAACATCCGCTTCAGCATTAAGTATCCAAGCATCCATACACCGCACACACTCCAACACACCCCTCAACAACATGTCCATACCCACAGCCTCGCCTCGCTCCGCCGTCGAAGCCGCCCTCGACCTCTTCTTCCGCGCGCGCCACGATCCCTCAATACAGCCATCCGCGTGGGACGACCTCGTGGCCACGTTCGATGAAGAACAACTTGAGCAGCTCGAGGATGCAACGAGCGTGCTGCGACGCAATTGGCCGAGGCATGTACCTTATCCTAACCTCGTTGGCTTTGTGAGGTGGCAGGTGGAGAAGGCGGAGAGGAGGGACAAGGAGCTGGATAGGAGGGAGAAGGAGGATGAGAGGAGGGAGAGGGAGGATGAGAGGAGGGAGAGGGAGGATGAGAGGAGGGAGAAGGAGGTGAGGGAGGAGGAGGAGGCTAGAGCGATGTCGGATACGGAAGAGGAGTGATGGATATGTGCGAAGATGGGACGAGGGGATGTTGAATGAAGTTACGGATCGAAAAATGCCTTTGGCGGAGAAGGGGGAGGGGCAGGGTCAGTGCATGAAGAGTCTAGGTAACTGTGAGTGTAAATGTCTTGATAAAGCACTATTCTATCGCTTCAAAGTGGCGCTATGCTCACAGCGACACGTATATCTACAAGTAAACGCCGCTGAATGCATCGTATCTACAAACCCTCCATATCCGCGTCCTCAATCATGCTGTTATCTCCCGCTTCCTTCCTTTATTCTTACAAATCGTACAAATACGTTTACACATCTCCGCCGCCAGACAGCGGATGTTGCTCGAAATACCGTAGTAGCGTTTGGTACAGTACCAACATGGTCCCTGATTGCACACTCGTCCAGACGGCGCGCGGTCCGACGCCTCTGAACCACCCGGCTATCCCTTCTGTTTTGTATATTATCTTCAGGCCAGTCATGACGGAAGACGTGTCGAGAGTAGCGGCGCCGTGGGCTTTGAGAGTTGTGGAAGGGGAAGATGTGGAGATCGGTCTACTTTGCGTGGATTTCGTCTTAGTTGTTTGCGAGGGGGTGGAGTGTTTCGAGGCCGCGGCGGGCGACAGTGGTGCTTTGGATGCGGGTGGAGAGGCGGGAGATGGGCCGTTGTGTTGGGTTTGGATGCGCGTCTTTACTACGTCGAGAGGGGTTGTTATGACGCCTGCCATGCCGCCTGCGGTGGCTGCGGTTGCGATTTCTAGCGGCAATCCAATGTTGTTTGAGCCCATGTACTTCTTGGCCCAGTCCCGCTCTTCTTCGTAAAAGGCAAATTGTAGTGCTGAGAAGGGGAGGTCGCGCCAGAGCGTGGCCTTATAGCCGTGGAAGAGGGCGCTGTAGCCTTCCACCCTGGCTATTGTTCGCGCGGCGTCGATGGTTCCGCGGTAGTTGTAGCCTGAGTTGAAGTAGGGGTTGTTGTAGCGGCCTTGTAATTGGAGGCGAGTCTTAAGGACTTCAGAGGGGACGTATGCAGGGGCAGCAGCGAGATCAGCGAGCAAACCTAGACGTTTGTCAGTACATGGCGGGGCTGTGTTGATCTGTAGGGAGGTGTACCGGCTGAGAAGTATGCGACCGAGGGCGCAACTCCATAGTCAATCATGGTCCGCTTGGTCCACTCGTATGCTCCAAAGAAGCACACAGTGCCCGAGAATGACCCAAGAAACGCTGGCTTCACTCCTCCGTACAATCCTTTCCGGAAGCCCTCTTGCCGCCATATGGTGTAGTATGTGTTGCCCATGGATGTGTACTTGGGGGGCATGTGCGGGTCGCCCTGTTGTCGCGTCTTGACTGTATCCAGCGAATGCATCAACATGTCGCCTGTAGTGCCTCCTATTCCTCCTGCCAGCATTGCCTGTTTGTGATCAATTGGCATCCCTCATCTCTGCAGACTAGGCATCCTCACATGTAGGTATGGCGGCCGCGCTGCTTCCTCATCTATCTCGTCCTCCAGGGCTCCCCGCTTGGTATCCTCCATGGGAAGTTCCACTGCGTGTGCTGTGCTTGGGCCATGTCTCCGGCTACCGTCGGTCAGGTTGGTGGTAGAGTCTCCGTTTGTGAAGAAGTTGGCCACGCGGGCAAGTACCATGAGCGCTTCGATGGCAGCGGTGCACTGGGTGTAGATTTATGGGTGTTGTAGTGAAGAAAGACGAGTATAGAGAAGTTTGATATGTGCAAGGGTATCTTCAAAGAGTGACGTTGCTGCCACTGCGGCCGTGCGATGATGTTGCGTCTGGAAAATTTCGGCCAAGACCGGGACTGCGCAGCCACATCCCTGCAAGCCCTGGCTATCAGCTATCAGAAGCACGGGGACCAGACGACGGCTTGATGCAGTTAAGACTACCTAAGCTATACCTATGCGAATGCCACCAAAACGACTGCAGACAACGCATCTTGCTCAGAGACAGCGTGGTGTTGCTGCAGATCAATGTATTTTGTAGGCTAAGCCCTGCAACAGTTAGCGCCCAGATGACCCACGTGAGCCCCAGCCATCGTGTTTACATCCAGAGTCTCTCTGCATCCGATCAACACCACACCGCCCCCACCTTTTTCGCCCACGACGCTTTTTCTGCTTGCATTCTTGGTTCATTTTGATCGCAAGCTTCACGCGACCTGATCTATACCACTCACCATGTCTCACTCTTGGCTTCAGAGGAAGCGCAAAGCTGACTTGATCGACCTTGCGCAGAAGGCTAGACTTCCCGAGTAGGCTGGATTTGATCCTGCGCGTGTATGCGATACTAACAAGTCGTTTGCAGTGCAGATGGCCTCTTGAAAGATGATCTCGTGGACCTGCTTGAGAGCCATCTCAACTCCAATGAGAGCACCTTTGCCAAACTCCCCGAGTTTAGCGACTACTACGGGCGCAATGGGTCGCCAGTAAAGCGCGAAAAATCTTCGCCAGAACCCTTCATCACCAAGACGACGCGCCGCCGAACCCTTAACAAAGACCCTTCGTATGTCAAACTTGGAAACGCGACGCGCGACGCGATGAGGCTAACAAACGCGCAGTCCAGAGTCTACCCCCGTCATCACACCTGAAATCCGTAGCGTTGTCGCGCGCACACCAAAGCCGAGATCCGTGGCTCGACGTGTTTCCGAGATGGTCGCTGAAGCCGAACCTAAGGCCATGTCCCGTCGCGTTTCCGAGGTGGTCGCTCAAGCCGAACCCAAGGCCGTCTCTCGTCGCGTTTCCGAGCTGTACAATCAAGTGGACATTCCCGCATCGCCTGCCCAACTCGCTGAGGTCGCCGACCAGTCTTTCCAAGTAGTACAGACAAAGGCTGTCGAGCTGTGGGACAGGACCAGGATCGATGAGCTGAAGGAGTTCGTTCGAGAAAACGCAAGCTCGGTCGCTACCATCCAAACTATCATTCTGCTTGTCGAAGCTGTAGGACTACAGTACAACACGCTCGACACCACTCCGTTATTCGCTACGCCCGCCGCCTTGGGCTCATACACGAGCAGCCAAGACGTTCGAGGACCTAACTTCTGGGCGCTGCTCTCAGCTGAGTGGTGGGCACCAGCTACCCTCTGGTCGCTTACGAGCTGGGTGCTACCGCTGATGTTCTCCTACTTCTTCAACTTGACCCTCCGCTCCAACACCTCGCGAAAGTCTTCCGAGCGCCAATATCCCGCTGACCCGCTCATCTTCAACATTGCGCGGGCAGTCCTGTCGTACAATGCCTACCGGGAAACTGTCAACATGGCATTTGCGCCAAGTGCGTGGGGTCCCTTCTCCGAGTACGCGGTTGCGCGCGTAGGAAACAATGTCCCAGGAGGATACTATGGGCTGCAAATTGGCTCACTGGTTGGCATACTTGTCAGCCTTTACGACGCCGCATTGAAGAAGTAGATACTTGTTGGGATAGAACACGGAATGTGACTGGGTCTGAGGACGTGAATCTGGTGATACCTGTATGTTCATTGGCGTTTGGATATACGATACCTTCCACCCTGGCGAGCTGGACACACTTTGCATCTGGATGCGGAGTTCGAGACCGGCGTTTATCGGAATGTCTGTTTCATTGGAGCTGCTACGCTTCATCGTTACCCAATATATACCTATGTCAAAATTGGTGCCCTAACTTGATCGCCTTTGAGAAGTAGTGACCCGGGTGCAGACAAGACGCTCCAAATGCTTCAGCTGTTAGACCCGCCGCCACTGCGCGTTGTTGATGAAACACGTGAAGTCGCGTGTGCTATCGATAGCTCCAAGCGCGAAAGGGCCACGCCGTCACCCCTCCGTCCCAACATCCTGCCATTCAACATCACTCTCACACGACTGCACCCACACGAACTTTACTCCAGTCTACCAATTGAACAACATACAACATGTCGGCTCAGTTCATGCAAATGTTGCAGAACATGCAAGGGCGGTCAAGCCGGTATTTAGCGCAACACCTTTGAAGCTCCAATGAGTTGCTAATGTGCAGTGTCAAGTACGATGGAAGACATGATCAATTCCGATGACCAGCTCGCTGGCATGGACGGCATGGAACTTCGCGGCTGGAGCCACAACAACCCCACGGTGCCCAGTCGTGACCTCAAGGACCCAGTCGGCCAGACCCTCCTCGCTATCTTCAATCAAGAATTCGACGCACTACAAAACTACGTGGAGATGATGATCAAACAGCTCGGGGGCACCGAGGAAGCTCGCGAGACGCTCAGGAAGGATCTCTTCGCCAAACGATGGGGCCCCACGAAAACACCCATCTACAATGTACTCTTGCCAGCGCTGCACATGATGCCAAACAAGAAGCAAGAATTACTGGGCGTCGTGAAGTATCTAGCCAATGATCTCAAAGTGCCAGTCGATGGCAAGGACGTCGTGGGCAGCACCGCCCTCTTCTGGGCCATATCCACAAAACCCTACGTGCAACCCGAATTCGCGCAGATCCTCTTCGATGCTGGCGGTTCCGTCAACACGAAGAACCGCTTCGGTGCTACCCCAGGTTCAGAGATCGCCCAAGCCGATATCCACGGCGACACGAGCAAGAACGTGCAGATGCTGAAGTGGTACGTTGAGCATGGCGGCGACGTTGACAGCAAGGACACGGATGGCATGAGTATCAAGACTTTGGTTGAGATGATGAACATGAAGGTACCGGCTATGGCTGCGGTTCTCAAGAAGGGGAGAGGGCCCAGGAAAGAGGGGGATTGCACGAACTGCGGGAGGAGCCCGAAGGACGGGAAGGTCTTCTCGGCTTGTGGCAAGTGTAAGAAGGCGAGGTATTGCTCGCAGGAGTGTCAGAAGGTGGACTGGAAGGGACATAAGAAGGTTTGTAAGGCAACGTAAGGCAGGCTGGAAATGTGGTAGTGAGAGAGGTGAGGAGAGACGGTACGGGAGATGAAAGTGCCGCGTGGAAGAGTTGGGTGACCGTCAAAGCCGACCATGGCTAAACTCTGGCTTCCTGGCTTCTGCAGGCGATAGGTCAAGAAACCAGCTATGCATA